TCCTTTGCGGGGGAGGAGGCACCCCCACCGGAGCTTCCAGGCAGCCTTTCGGGCCGCCAGGTTGGCAGCAACGCTAGCGGGGGTCCCGGCAAATGCGTCGGGCAATGGCATCCTTTTGAACAACGCGGGCGGCGGAAGTGTCGGGAAAAGTTCCTGCGGTAGCGTCGATGGAAGCGCCAGTGGTAGCTCCGACGGAAGCTCTGGTGTACAGCGCCGACGGTAGCGTGTGCGGCAGACCCATGTGTGGAAACATGGCAGATGGCAGCACGGCTGGCGGTAGTATGGCCGATGGCAGCAGAGCCGGTAGCAGGGTCGGCGGCAGCAGCGTTGATGGGGGCACAGTGGGTGGCAGCATGCCCGCTTGAGGGTCGATCCTCTCATGTTGGCTACACTCGGGTGATCTTGTCTTATCCGCGCCTCTCTCGGTCGACAAGCCTAAACACCCCGGCCGGTTAAGGTGAATGATACACCGTCGCACTCGGACAGATTCGAGCGTCTCGGGGAGCTCGCACTCACTCTCGAGAGACGGTGCTGAGCTAACCTAGACTGGGCTGGGTCTTAGGCATTGTCGCCGGCGTGCGGCGGCCTGCCTCCGGAGGTGCCTCTGAGGGGGACATTTTTTGGTCACCGTGAGAGAACGCGTTCGAATTTTTACTCGGGAACTTCAACTCTGCACGCGCACCGGCAAGGGCTACAATAGTGCCAGTGAGGCGGAGGCGCGAGTCCGGGAAGGGCCGCGACCGTCAAGTGTTTCCGTCATTTTCCTACAATCGCTGTGGACCCAGCCACGTACGAGTCGCGGCTCATGTGGCTCAGGGGCGGACACACGCACCCCAGATGGCTGAGGTCTGAGGGCTCACACAATAACATAAACGAGGGTGGGTGCTGAGGGCTGCCCCTGGTGGTTGGCGTCGACCGCCGGTCGCGGCGCCCGTGCGCCTATGCCTGGGGCTCCACATTCGCACGCCCTCGGTGCGGCGCGCGCTCGTGTCCCGAGGCGCGCATTGCGCTTCGAGGGCAGGGCCCCAACGGGCCGCTCGCGCTCTCAGAGCTCCTGCTTGTCGTCCCCGGCCGCCTCGCGCCGCTTCATCTTGCCCTTCCCCTTCTTCTTCTTCTTCTTCTTGCGCGCCTTCCCCGCCGCCGCCTCCGCAGAAGCGCCTCCCTCGCCGCCGTCCTCCTCCCCGCCCGCCGCCGCGCCTCGCGACGTCCTCTCGCGCCGCTCGTCCTCGGTCGCGCAAACGCCTGCTCACACACGAACACTGCCTACACTTCGCGCCTAGCCCAACCGCGCCGCCCGGCTGCGGCCCGCGCCGCATGCGCCGGCGCAGTTGTCCGCCATGAAGTCGAAGTTGGTGAGGCACTCGCCGGACGCCGCCCAGCCTGCAGGAGTACGGCCGTGTCGCACGCGCAGAGGTCTTGAGAAATCGGAGGCGGGCGGCTTCAGACCGCCATCGCTAAGCGGTGTGCTGCTTGCGCAAAGGGAGCGGAGGCAGACGCGAGCCGGGCGCTAGCGTGGAGTACCGCCATCGCTGTGTGGTGTGCTGCGTGCGCAAGGTAGCGGAGGCAGACGCGCTGCCGCACGCTACTTAGCCTGGAGTGGGATGGGGGGGCGGTATGGGGGGAGAAGGGGAGGCTCGGGGTCTTCTTCCGCATCTGCGCCGCCCAGCCCGCACACGCCTACGCCAGAGCACGCCCGGGTGTGAGGGTGCGGATGCCCAGAGCGCACCACAGCGTGAGGGTGCGGATGCAGCGGTGCCGAGCCCGGCCTTTGTGGGAGAGCACCGCGCGCGCATACAAGGGGGGGGGGGGGGAGAGAGAGAGAGAGAGAGAGAGAGAGAGAGAGAGAGAGAGAGAGAGAGAGAGAGAGAGAGAGAGAGAGAGAGAGAGAGAGAGAGAGAGAGAGAGAGAGAGAGAGAGAGAGAGAGAGAGAGAGAGAGAGAGAGAGAGAGAGAGAGAGAGGCACCACACCCCCCTCTCCCTCCTCCGCCCCGGGAGCTCAAGATCCGTACACGGACACTGCATACGAGGGCGCACCGCAGCTGGCGCACCGCGAGGGCAGCGGAATGCAGGCGAGTGTGCCGGGAGAAGGGGGCGCGTATTCCGCATCCAAACGCTCGCGCCCAGCGACCATTTCTCGGCTACTCTCGGCATCTCGGTCAATCTCGGCCTCTTGCCGGCAGTCGCCCAGGCGCGGCCGCGGGAGGAACCTCGGCCAATCTCGGCCAATCTCGGCCAATCTCGCGCTCATCTCGCATCTAGGCGCGCGCGCCGCCGCGTGTTCTGGCTTGTTGCCGTCGCCACCGGAGGCGCACGCCGGCCGTTCGAAGGCGCCGTTGTCCTCCGCCTAGGAATCTTTGCCAATCTCGACCACTCTCGGCGAATCTCGGCGAATCTCGGCCATCCCATTCCTTGAGGCTGAGCGCAGCGCAGACACCGCACGATGCGGGGCACTGCTTCCGCAGCACCTCTGGCAGCGAGGTGCACTGCCCCTGCGCCGCCGCCGCCGCGCAGCCGGGCAGCCGGTCTCGGCAGCGGAACGCGCAGCCGTCGGGGAGCATGCGGGCAGTCCCTTCCGGAGAGAAGACCTCGCCTCCGCCCTCGTTGCGCCACGCGAGGTCCCACTTTTGCGGCCGCTCCTTGAGCTGGCCGTCGCACGCGTACTCGAGCTCAAACACGGCCGGCGTCGGCAGCAGGCCGGCATTGGCGCAGTAGCCGCACGCGACTGGGCACCGGTCGGCCATAAAGTCGTAGTTCTTCTCGCATTCGCCACGCTTCGACCACGAGTCGCACTCCAGCTCCTTGTTTCGGCAGCGCGACGCGGAGCCCTTGACCTGTGCCGCGGCGTGCCACGCCGCCGCGGCCAGTACGACGAGACGGATCGTGCCCATTTCTGCAGGGCCTCCGGGCTGAGGCTTCCAAAGTCTGGCCTTGCGGCGGTAAACTTGAAGGAAAAAGAATTTCTGTAGTTGCAGACAGGAAAAGGAACAACGAGGTGCACCACTGGAGCCGCCTAAGCGACTCCCGCGAGGACGGCGAGGCACTTAGCTCCGTGCACTCGACCGCCCTCGCCGCTGGCAAGCTCATTCACAATCTGCTTTGCGACCGTGTGAAGAACGACTGCGCTGCTTCTGCTGCAGCCCCAGCCAGCTCTGGGAGGCGTTATTTTCGCAAAAGCCACAGAGCCGACTGCGAAGGCACAACGCGAGGACGCTCTCCGTGCCACCATGTCAGCTCACACCATCGAGTACGCAAAGTCGAACCGAGCGACGTGCAAAGGGCGCGCGCGACCACTGCGCTCTCTCCGCCCCGCGCCGCAACTGATGTGCGCCCGCACACACACACCCGCGCGCGCAGATGTGGCAACAAGATTGACAAGGGCGCGCTCCGGATGGGCACCACCTTTGAGTCGGCGGCGGGGTACGACATGACTCAGTGGCGCCACCTCGCGTGTGCCAAGAAGCCCAAGAAATATTTGGGCGCCGACGAGATCGCGGGCTACGACTCCCTCAAGCCCACCGACCAAGGGCAGGCGAGCCGAGGGAAGGCGGTGGCGGAGATTGGGGGCGAGAGGTGAGATGCGGCGTCAGCACACGCCGCGAGAACACGGTGGGTGGGGCAGAGAGCCCGCGGTTTGCACGCGCCGAGGAGCACGAGCGGCGACGGCACCGGCGGGGTTGCGTCGGCGGGGTGGCGGCGGCGGAGTGGCGGCGGCGGGGTGACATATGGCGGCGGCGGGCAAGGGGTCTGCACCCAACCTCGGCTGCCCATCGCCACCAGGTGCGCGCGTGGTGGGATGACCCCGCCTCCTTCGCCGCCGCGCACAAGGACGCCGCCGTCGCCGACGCCGTCGCCGCCGCGCGCGCCGCCGCCGCCGCAGACGCCGCGCCCGCGACGCCGCCGGCAAAGAAGAAGCAGAAGGCGGGCGCGGCGGCGGCCTCCCCCGCGACCGGCCCCCGGCCGGCGGCGGCGGCGGCGGCGGAGGCGGCGGCGGCGGCGGCGAAGAGCAACGCGGCGGCGGCGGCGGTGCAGGACGAGGCGTCGCGGCGCGACACGTACACGGCGTCTTTCTCTGCGCTGTCTGCGGCGGCGCTCAAGGAGTGCTTGCGTGCGCAGAAGCCCGACCAGCTGCTCGGAGGAAACAAGAAGGAGCTGGTCGACCGCTGCGTCGACCGCAAGCTGTACGGTGAGGAGTGAATGAGCGAGTAGTTGATTCACTTGCAGCTCGCAGCTAGCGAAGCACCCTGCAGCTAGCGAAGCGAGCAAGCTCTGCGGTAGCCTGCTCCTCGCCTCGCCTCTGCCTCGCGCCCCTCCTCCGCCGTCCCGTCTTCAGCCTGCACCGCTGCGCTGGCTACTGCCACCCTCTTCCTCGGTCGCTCACGGCTTTGTTTCGTCTGGGACACCCACACCACACACTCACACTCACACCGCCCACCCACGCCCCCCGGGTCTTACTTTGAATGCCGTGCGGCTCCTGTCTTCTAGACGCGGAGTCGCGAGGGACTAGCCTGGCCCTTGCCCCACCACCTCGTGTGGTGTGTGTGTGTGTGTGTGTGTGTGTGTGTGTGTGTGTGTGTGTGTGTGTGTGTGTGTGTGTGTGTGTGTGTGTGTGTGTGTGTGGAGGAGCTTACCCTACCTTACCTTCCCTTAGGCAACCTGCCCCGCTGCCCGGCTTGCGGGCTGGGCTAAGCTAGAAGACGAAGACGTGTTCTTGTCTCCCAACCAGCGCTCGAGAGGACACGGACTCCGCTGTATTCGACCGTATTCCGCCGTATTCAGCAGTGCTCCGCTGTACCCGCTGTGATCGCCTCCCTCGTATTCACGCGGTGCTCTCAGTGCACTGCACACTATGCCACGTCCCCGCCCTGAGGCTGGCGTCTACGCCGTGTAGGCTGGGCAAGCTGCGCGTCGCGTACGCGCTGCCGGTCGGCCACAAGGGGAAAGGGCGCATCTCGTGCCCGAGGTTACCCGAGATTGCCCGAGGTTACGCGAGATGACCCGAGATTAGGCAAGGGCGCTTCTCGTGCCCGGGCGGGTACGACGACGACGCGTACAAGCCGTGTAGCTACAAGGCGAGAGGCAGCCGAGAGACGGCCGAGAGACGGCCGAGAGACCGCCGAGAGACAGCCGAGAGACAGCCGAGAGACCGCCGAGAGACAGCCGAGAGACAGCCGAGAGACAGCCGAGAGACAGCCGAGATACAGCCGAGAGATAGCCGAGAGACAGCCGATAGCCGAGAGATAGAGAGACACAGCCGAGAGACAGCCGAGAGACACAACTGAGAGATGCAGCCGAGATACAGCCGAGATACAGCCGAGAGATAGAGAGACACAGCCGAGAGACAGCCGACGCGTCGGTACGAGCCGTGCCCAGGCGACGGCGGCGGAGCGGCCCGCGTGGACGGTTGTGGCGGCGGAGACGGAGACACCCGTGCGCAAGAGCGCGAAGAAGCGGCCGGCGGGCGGCGGCGACGACGAGGGCGCACCCGTGCCGTTCGACTGAGCCGATAGATAGATGGCGAGGCGAAGACACAGTCTGGCTAGCGACTGGACACTGAGCCGCGCGCGACAGAGGGCCATAGCGGCGCGGTGGGGCCCGCACAGTGCGGCGTGCGCGTGGCGCAAGTTGCGCGCGCCGTATCCCCTCTGCTGTACATATCGGCGCTCAAAGAGAGTGTGCGTAAGGGGAGCTGATGAATGGTTGTGGCAGCCCTGGGGCACATCTCGCGTTTCGTGTACACGAACTCCTGCAGGTGATTTAGGTAAGGTAAGGTAAGGTAGATTTCTCCACACACACAAACCACTTGTGTGCAACGACGTTGAACAGTGTTCAGTTGAACACGATCGAGTAACCGCCGGCGGTCGCGGCGCAGATGCGGGAGATTGCGAGCGCCACCGTCTCTCCGTCTGCTGAGGAGGAAGGGAGATTGCGAGGCGCCGCCGCGCAAGGTATCGGTAAGTAAACGCTTTTTTTAGGAGCTCAAACCAAAGGATTAAAAGAAATAAAAACTCTCTGATTGCCGAATCAGCATGTCTCTCGTCGTCTCTCTGCTCCTCGCTCGGCCGGGCGGCGACTCGGGTGGTGCGGAGGCGCCGCCGCTGCGCGTGCGCGCGCACGAGGCGGCGCTGGAGCACGCCTGCTGTCGCCGCCACGGCCCGACGCCCGGGGCCGGACGTCGAGCCGGACAAACTTTTGGCGAGAGCAGACCGAGCATCTTCACCGAGCATCGTCGGATCGACCCGCTCTCCTGCGACGAGCCGCGGGAGGGAGGCTCGTGTGATCCGGCCGGAGCGGCGGCGCGTGGCGCACACACGCCCCGCTCGCCCGCGGCCGCTGAGGCATACCCGGCGAGAGCCAGCTTTGCCCCCTCGGCGACATTTGCGAGGCTCACCTCGCCGCCGTGCTGCGGGTGCGGCGGTTGGCTTGCGAGGTGCGCGTGGCCGCGCGTGGCGCGGCTGGCCCCTGCCCACGCTCCCATATTTTGGGCTGGCTCGCGCACGCGCCGCGGAAGCTCGACGACGAGCGACTGCATTGGCGGTCTCCGTTGTGAAAGGCGGCGGCTCTGCGTGGTCAAAGGCGGCGCTTGCCATCAGCCGCCGTGCATAGATGTCCCTGACCTCCTTCCCGGACGGCCACACGGCGGAGGGCCAGGCCGAGGGCACCAACGTGGCTGAGTACTTTGACCGCGGCTGGTGCTTCACCGAGGCCAGCTGGGCGAGCCTGACAAAGGCTGGCTTCCTCTCGCTCGACCTCGGCAAGATGCGCGCCAGCAAGGAGTACAACTCCTGCCTCAGCCTCATGCGCGACTGCACCCAGGACGGCGGCCGGCACCCTCCGCTGCTGCCGTCTGCGTTCGCGGCGGAGCTGGAGAAGAAGAGCTTCACCAACGGCAAGGACGACAAGCCGCTGGTGAAGCGGCTGTACGAGGCTGCCTTCGAGGAGCAGTTTGGCAAGGCGACCGAGCTGAGCTACTGGAACCTCGGCTGGGGCGACACGGAGGCGGCGCAGCTGGCGGAGGTCCTCGCGAGCGGGGCAGCGCCGCGGCTCGAGAAGCTCGGTCTCCACAACAACAAGATTGGCGACGAGGGCTGCAAGGCGCTGGCCGCCGCCCTCAAAGAGGGGGCCGCCCCGGGCCTGAAGGCGCGAGACGCCCTCGCCACACGCCCCTCCCCCGCCCAACAATGCCCATCGCACCTCCCCTCGCGTGCAGGAGCTCGGCGTGGGCCACCAGGAGCCTGAGCTGGTGGCCGTGTGCGAGGAGCGCGGCATCAGGCTCTGATGAGCCTCTCCAGCCCCGGCCGGGCGGCAAGGGCGCGGGGCCCGGCGGGACCGCCGCGCGAGCACGGCAGAGAGCAACAGACCCTGCGGCTGCGAAGCACGACGTACAGCGACGGCGGGGGCGGCGGGTGTGCGGGATGTCTGTGGGCCCGAAAGCGATGTGCGTGTGCCGCTTAGCGTTTGTTTCATATAACAGACGTGACACCTGACACCTGACCGACAAAAAAAGAAAAGAGCAGCCACGTCACAAGGGACGCACGGTGCGCGCGCTTTTGCACGAGTCGCTGTGCTCGCTGCGAGCTCCAGCCTCGAACTCTCGCCCGCCGATCGCCGCATGCCGTCGACCGCCACGAGACAGCCAAGCGCCGCCGCAAGCCCCCCGCGCGCGACGTCCGACGAAAACTGTCAACTGAAAGCACCAAGCACGTCAAAAAAAGAAAGGGCAGTCGCGGCGCGAACAGGCGAATATATATGATTATAGCTTATAGGACATGCGTGGGGCCGCCCCCACTAAGCGCTATCGCAATATAAACGGATCCTGCTTCCTGGTTCCTGCATCCTCCTCCTGGGCCGCACAAACGCATCTAAGCCGCCGACCGCAGCCACCTCCCGTCCCCCCGCTGGCCACTCCACAGCCCGGCTGTCGGCACTCATGGGCGGACCAGGGGGCAGCCCCGGAGCGCCGGAGCGCCTCGCCCGCAAGACCCCGCCTGCGCGACCCTCCCCTCACCGCGCGGCCCCGCCGGCGGCGTGTTCCTCCCCGGCGGAGGCCGCGCCGCGCCGCCGCCGCCGCTGCCTGGGCGACTGCGCGGCGAGTAGCGGCAGCGGAGGGCCCGGCCACCTTAGAGCAGCCCGCGCTCGGCGAGAAGGCTCAGCATGCGCGGCGACGAGTAGCGGCAGCGGAGGAGGCGCGAGATCGCGAGGTCGAGCAGCGGGCGGATGCGGTAGAAGCCGGCCTGAGGGCGGCGGCGGGCGCGGGAGGGCGGTGCTGCTGGGGGAGGTGGAGGGCGGCGGCGGAGGAAGGGACGGGAAGGGACGGGAAGGGGGGGGGGGGGCACGGAGGGGGGAGGCGGAGGGGAGGGGTGAGGCAACAGTGAGGCATCCGGGATCGACAACGGCGCCCGGGGGGGGAGGCAGCGGGGGCGCGCCTCGCGCACAAACTCGCGCAGCTCCTCCTCCTCGGACGAGGCGCGGCGGTTGTCCTGCGACTTTGGCGAGTAGGCCGCCGGAAGCGCGCACGAGCCGTCCCGGACGTAGTCGAGGACCGCCTCAAAGTGCTTCCAGGAGCGCTCGATGCGGTAGTGGCCTCCGTCCGTCTTGCAGCCGACGTTGGCCGAGTCGCCGAAGAAGTCGAGCAGGTAGCCGCCTAGTGCGTAATGAACGGCATCACTCACCATTCACGAAATGAATGGTGAGTGCTTCCGTTCATCACGCCCGCGCGGCGCAGCACGGCGGACCGGGCCGAGAAGACTTGCGTGCCGGTGAAAGCGGGCGGCTGCTCCGCCTCCTCCGGCAAGCCAACCTGCAGGAGGACCCGCTGTGGTGATCGCACGAAGGCAAGGTATGCACCACGTCCCTTCTTGCCGACCTGCAGGCTGACCCACATCTCGAACCGCTTGGCGCCGCTCGCGCGGCCCGGCGGCCCGGCCTGCGGCCCAGCCTGCCGCGCGGCGCTCTCGTCGCAGGCGGCGCGGAGGGCGAGCAGCTCCGCCACGAGGGAGCGGTGCTCCGCCTGGTCGACCACGAATGTGGAGCTCGAGCTCTCCCTCTCCCTCTCTCTCTGCGCGCGCGCGTGTGTGTGTGTGTGTGTGTGTGTGTGTGTGTGCAGCCTCGGCCACGGCGCGCGATCGCCGTCGCGGCCTCATCTCGACGGGGGGAATCCCGTGGACATCTCGGGGCGTCGTCATCTCTCGGGGCCGCTCGCCGACGCGCGGTCGACGACCGAGCGCAGCTTGCGCGCGATCTTGTCTCCCCGCACGACGCGCCACCAGCGCTGCAGCGAAATGGCGCGCGGCGTGAGCACGACGAGCCGCTCGCGCCGCCGCCGCTCGAGCTCGCGCCGCCCGCCGCGCCGGCGGGCCGCCGCCTGCACCGCCACGGCGGCGGCAGAAAGCGCGGCTTCCCGCTGCGCCTTGGCGCGGGAGGCGAAGAGGTGCGCGCAAGCGGCCACAAACGCGCGGCGGTGCGGCGCCATCCGCGCCGCCGCCTGTATCGTCGCCGCGGCGCGGCGCGACGCCACCCGCCGCGCCAGCCGCCGCAGCCCCGAACGGAGGTACGCGCGGACGGGGAGGAGGGCGGCGCGCCACAGCGCCAGCGCCCGCACGCGGCGGAGCAAGCGGCACAGCCGCAGCCCCGCCAGCGTGTGCGCGAGCGCGCGCCGGAACCGGCGCAGCACGATCCAGCGGCGGACGCGCGCCACGATCTCCGGCCCGCGCGCGGCCATGTCGCAGGAGCGGAGGCCTACGGGTGCGCGTCGCGGACGCGTCCGGCGGCCGTGCGCGTCGCAAAGACCGCGGCGGGGGGGGAGGGGCGGCCGTCGAGGCACGCGACGCCGCCGGCGCGGAAGAAGAGGCGCGTAGCGCCGAGCTGGTACAGGTCCCGCTGCACTCCGAAGCCGTAGGCGACGGCGGCGGCGAAGTCGCGCGGCGGCAGCCGCAGGCGGCCGACGTCGGGCGGCAGGTGGGGGGCGTACCGCTCCACCACCTCGGTGTAGGAGATGCGCGTGGGGAACCCGTGCTTGAGCAGCTCGCAGCACTGGAGCATGCCCGTGTGCCGCAGCTGGGTGACCGTGTACGGCGCGTCGAACACGCCGGCGGCCATCGCGGGGTTGGGCTTGATGCAGCGCACAAAGTTGCAGCGCGTCGAGTCGAGCTCGGCCACCAGCGCCGACATCTGCTTGACAAAGGTGAGCCCCACCGACGAGAAGACCTTGCCGCCCCCCACGCCTGTGATTAGGGTGCCTCTAGGGTGCCTCTAGGGTGCCGCTAGGGTGTCTCTAGGGTGCCTCTAGGGTGCTTCTCGGGTGCCACGCGCCTCGCGGCTGTCGCGTGGAGCCCGGCGTCGGCCGCGGCGTGGCGGGCGCACCGCCGCCGGCGCCGCGAGGGGTGGTGAGGTCGAGGGGCCGCCTGCCCACAGCGATAGGGTGTGAGCGCCCCGCCGTCCCCATTCACAAGGGTGGTGGTGGTGGCGGTGATGGATGGGTGTGTGGCGAAGAGTCGAGTGCGGAATCAAAGAAGAGGTTAAGGTGCAAAAATGCGA